GGGCCATGTTCGGCCGTCTTGGTGGGCTCCTGGCCCGGCCGACGCCGTCGGAAGCCGTTTGGGGGGCCTCTACGGGCCGGCTTGGGGCCCTCTTGGAATGCTCCAGGGCCGTCTTGGAGGCCATCTTGGGCGTCTTAAAGGCCTCCTGGGCCGTCTTGGGGGCCTCTTGGGGCCGTCTTGGGGGCCTCTTGGGCCGTTCTGGGGCCATCTTGGAGGCCTCTTGGGCCATCTTTGGGCGATCTTTGGGGGCTCTTGGGCCGTATCGGGCCTTCGGATGGCCGAGGAGAAGCAAATGTCAACATCGTTCAAAAACCAATGCGACATCCATGCTTTTGGTTTTTTCTGGTCTTCCTGGAGGCCCTCTTGGAGGCCTCTTGGGCCGTCTTGGGCCAGCTTCGAGCCAACTTCGGCCATCTTGGTGGGCTCCTGGCCCATCTGACGCCGTCGGAAGCCGTCTTGGGGGCCTCTCTGGGCCGACTTGGGGCCCTCTTGGGGTGCTCCAGGGCCGTCTTAGAGGCCATCTTGGGCGTCTTGGAGGTCTCTTGGGTCGTCTTCGTCCCTCTTGGGGGCCTCTTGGCCAGTCCTGAGGCCATCTTGGAGGCCTCTTGGGCGCTGTGGGGGCGATCTTGGGGCCTCTTGGGCCGTCTTGGGTCGTCGGAAAGCCGAAAAGGAGCAAATACGAAAAACCTTTCAAAACCTAAGGGCAATCAATTATTTTGGCCTCTTCGGGCCCTCTTGGGCTGTCTTGGAGGCCTCTTGGGCACCTCTTCGGCCGTCTTGGGCCGTTTTGGAAGTTTCTTGGGCGGACTTGGAGGCATCTCCTCCTCTCTTGGGCGGACTTGGAGGCCATCGTGGACCATCTTGGAGGCCATCTTGGGCCAACGTGGCCATCTTGGAGGCCATCCTCAGCCGTCTTGGAGGACAAATTTGGGAAATCCTGTTCCGTGGCAATCCTCCCGGGACCCCGGCGGGACGGGTTAAAGCCCCAGGGGGAGTTTTTACCTAACAGCGAAGACTGATAGGTTTCTAGTTGACTCAAAAGAGCTCACAGATCACTCCACAGGGGGGTCCGGGCAGGTGTTGGGGAGTTGCCGGGCGGCAGGGTGCCGGGCTCGTTTTTCACCAACAGTCACACACTTCGTTCTCTTCGCCTTCCCAGAACTCCATTCCCAGGCCACATTCTGAATACCCGGATGCAACAGTCACACACAAAGTGCTCTTCGAGATCCCAGAACGCCATTCCCGGGCCACATTCTGAATAACCCGATGCAACAGTCACACACTTCGTGCTCATCGACATCCCAGAACGCCATTCCCGGGCCACATTTAGAATAACCGGATGCAACAGTCACACACTTCGTGCTCTTCGAGTTCCCAGAATTCCATTCCCGGGCCACATTTTGGATGCCCGGAGCCAACTGTAGGCCACTTCGTGGTCTTCGAGTTCCCAGAACTCCATTCCCGGGCCACATTTTGAATAGCCGGAGCCAATTGTAGGCCACTTCGTGCTCTTCGAGTTCCCAGAACTCCATTCCCGGGCCACATTTTGGATGCCCGTAGCCAACTGCAGGCAACTTCGTGCTCTTCGACTTCCCAGAACTCCCATTCCTGGGCCACATTTTCAGCAGGGGCAAGAGCACGACGAGGAGGAGGACGAGCAAGACCAGGAGGACGAGGACGAGCAGGAGCAGGACGAGGAGCAGGATGAGCAGGAGAAGAAGGACGAGCAGGAGGAGGAGGAGGACGAGCAGGAGGAGAAGGACGACCAGGAGGAGGAGGACGACCAGGAAGAGGAGGAGGTAAGTATAGTGCCGGGGAGTTAGGAGGAGTACCGAGGGAGAGAAAGGAGGAGGAGGGAGCGGAGGAGGAGGAGGAGGAGGAGGAGGAGGAGGAGGAGGAGGAGGAGGAGGAGGACGAGGACGAGGAGGAGGAGGAGGGGGGGGGAGAGTACCAGGAGGAGGAGAACGAGGACCACCAGGAGGAGGAGGAGGAGGAGGAGGAGGAGGAGGAGGAGGAGAGAACACCACGAGGAGGAGGACGAGCAAGACGAGGAGGACGAGAACGAGGACGACCAGGAAGAGGAGGAGGAGGAGGAGGAGGAGGAGGAGGGGAGGGGGAGGACTACCAGGAGGAGGAGGAGGAGGAGGAGGAGGAGGAGGAGGAGGAAGAGGAGGAGGAGGAGGACGAGGAGGAGGAGGAGGAGGAGGAGGACGAGGAGGAGGGGGGGGGAGAGCACCAGGAGGAGGAGAACGAGGACCACCAGGAGGAGGAGGAGGAGGAGGAGGAGGAGGAGGAGGAGGAGAGAGCACCAGGAGGAGGAGGACGAGCAAGACGAGTAGGACGAGAACGAGGACGAGCAGGAGGAAGAGGAGGAGGAGGAGGAGGAGGAGGAGGAGGAGGAGCAGGAGAAAGAGGAGGAGGAGGAGGAGGCAGGCTGAGGCTGAGGCTGTGACTGCGACTGCCGTTGCCGCTGCGACTGCCATCGCGAATGCGACTACGACTGCGAGAACAGCAGAATTCTACAACTGGATTTTCATCTGAATCTTAAGGGGAATGCTTTCAGATATGCTTCTACACATCGCTGTTAGGTTGCTTTGCCGGGATAATTTACCTAACAGCGAAGACTGATAGGTTTCTAATGGGCTAAAAAGAGAGCAGCAGATGACTCCACAGGGGGGTCTGGGCAGCCGTTGGGGACGAGTTGGGGTTTGCCGGCCGGGATCGTTTTTCGCATACAGTCACACACTTCGTGCTCTTCGACCTCCCAGAACTCCATTCCCGGGCCACATTCTGAATGCCCGGAGCCAACTGTAGGCCACTTCGTGCTCTTCGAGTTCCCCGAACTCCATTCCCGGGCCACATTTTGAATGCCCGGAGCCAACTGTAGGCCACTTCGTGGTCTTCGAGTTCCCAGAACTCCATTCCTGGGCATGATTTTGAATGCCCGGAGCCAACTGTAGGCCACTTCGTGGTCTTCGAGTTCCCAGAACTCCATTCCTGGGCATGATTTTGAATGCCCGGAGCCCACTGTAGGCCACTTCGTGTTCTTCGAGTTCCCAGAATTCCATTCCCGGGCATGCTTTGAATGACCGGAGAGCCAACGTAGGCCCACTTCGTGTCTTTCGAGTTTCCCGCAGACGAACTCCATTCCCGGCCGACATTTTAATGCCTGAGGCAGGCTGATGCTGAGGCTGAGGCAGGCTGAGGATGAGCAGGCTGAGGCTGAGGCCGAGGCTGAAGCAGACTGAGGCTGAGGCTGAAGCATGCTGTAGGCTGAAGCTGAGGCAGGCTGAGGCTGAAGGCTGAGGCAGGCAGATGCTGAGGACAGGCGGAGCTGAGCTGAGGCTGATGCAAAGGCTGAGGCTGTGGCGCCTGAGGCTGACACCGAGGCTGAAGGCAGACTGAGGCTGAGGCTGAAGCAGGCTGAGGCTGAGGCTGAGGCAGGCTGAGGCTGAGGCAGGCTGAGGCTGAGGCTGAGGCAGGCTGAGGCTGAGGCTGTGACTGCGACTGCCGTTGCCACTTCGACTGTCATCGCGAATGCGACTACGACTGCGAGAACAGCAGAATTCTACAACTGGATTCTCATCCGAATCTACAGTACACTACTAACTACTACTGACTACTACTACGACTACTACTACTACTACGACTACAACTACTACTACTACTAACAATACTACTACTACTCCTAGCTACTAACTACTACTACTACTACTACAACAACTACAAACTACTACTACTGACTACTACTACCTACTACTACTACTACAACTAACTGACTACTACTACCTACTACTACTAGCTACTACTACTACTACAACTAGTAACTACTAGTACTAACTAGTACTACTACTACTACTACTAGTACTACTACTACTACTACTACTACTACTACTACTACTACTACTACTACTACTACGACTACTACTACTACTACTACTACTACTACTACTACTACTACTACTACTGCTACTACTACTACTACTAACTACTACTACTACTACTACTACTACTACTACTACTACTACTACTACTACTACTACTACTACTACTACGACTACTACTACTACTACTACTACTACTACTACTACTACTACTACTACTGCTACTGCTACTACTACTACTACTACTACTACTACTACTACTACTACTACTACTACTACTGCTACTACTACTGTGACTGTTACTGCTGCTGCATGCCTCCAGCTATGCTTCTACATATCGATGTTAGGTTGCTTTGCCGGGATAATTGGAAAAGAATCAGAACCCAAACCGAGAGGGTTTAGCACGCCAGGCGCACCCTTGCGATGAATCGTCAGGGGGCGGCCGATCTACGACGCCTACGGCGAATCACCGCCGCCCCCTGCCTTCTTGGAAGCGCCTATGTGGCCGAACATTGAGGCCAGATCTGCCAAGCTATCGGACCATGTGTTCCCCGAATCGGTTTGGAAAGCCTTCGGGGAACACGTGGGCATCTTGAAGGTCATCTTGGCCGTCTGGAGGCCGTTTTGGCCCTTTCGGGCCTTTTTGGAGGACGTCTTGGAGGGCTCTTGGGCCGTCTTGGAGGCCATCTTGAGCGTCTTGGAGACCTCTTGGCCGTCTTCGGGGCCTCTTGGGGCCGTGTCTTGGGCCTTTTGGGTGATCCTTGGGGGCACTTGGGCCGTCTCGGGCCGTCGGAAGGCAGAACAAGAAAATGCATAAACAAAAATCATGGGACATCAATGTTTTTTGCCTGTTCGGTCTTTCCTGGAGGCCCTCTTGGAGGCCTCGTGGGCAGTCTTGGGCCATCTCAGGGCCATGTTCGGCCGTCTTGGTGGGCTCCTGGCCCGGCCGACGCCGTCGGAAGCCGTTTGGGGGGCCTCTACGGGCCGGCTTGGGGCCCTCTTGGAATGCTCCAGGGCCGTCTTGGAGGCCATCTTGGGCGTCTTAAAGGCCTCCTGGGCCGTCTTGGGGGCCTCTTGGGGCCGTCTTGGGGCTCTCTTGGGCTGTTCTGGGGCCATCTTGGAGGCATCTTGGGCGATCTTTCGGCGCTCTTTGGTTGGGCGGAGAGAGCTATGCACATGCACCGATCCTGGCAAGGCCCATCCTTGGCCAAGGATCGGTGCATATGCTTTCCTGGCCACGTCAGGAGGGCATATGCACCGATCCTGGGCTCAGGATGGGCCTGGCAAGAATCGGTGTATGTGCATAGTTCTCTTTCCTCTACTTTGGGGGCTCTTGGGACGTTTCGGGCCGTCGGAAGGCCGAAAAGAAGCAAATGCCAAAATCCGTCAAAAACCTTAGGAACATCGCGTCTTGGAGGCCTCTCGGGCCGCCTTCGGGCCCCCTTGGGGCCGTCTTGGAGGCGCCTGGGGCCGTCATGGGGCCCTCTTGGGGGCTTCTTGGGCGATCTTGGGGCGATCTTGGGAGTCTCTTGGGCCGTCTTGGGCCGTCGGGAAGCCGAAAGGGCGCAAATGCCAACAACTTTCAAACACCTGAGGAAAATCGATGATTTTGGCCTCGTCGGGCCTTCCTGGAGGACCTCTTTGGAGGCCTCTTGGGCCGTCTTGGAGGCCTCTTGCGGGCCCTTTGGGCCGTCGTAGACCATCTTGAGGCCATCTTGGGCCGTCTTGGGTGCATCTTGGAGCCATCTTAGCCGTTTTTGAAGCCATCTTGGCTGTCTTGGAGGCATCTTGGAGGCGATCCTGGGCCATCTTGGCCGTCTTGGAGGCCATCTTGGGCCAACTTGGGGCAACAAAGGCATTGACGGATGGATTTTCGGGAATCTCCTGAGACCCCGGCGGGACGGGCCGAAGCCGAAGGGGGAGTTCTTTTGGAAAAAAAAACCCGAACCAAAACCATATAGTTCGGCACGCCAGGCACCCCTGCGATGAATCGACAGGGGGCGGCGGATCCAGTGGCTGTCGGCCCATCCCGCCGCCGTGCTCTGACCGCGAACTGGAGGCCTCTCGGACGCTTCTCTGGGACCTCTTTTGGGGGCCGCTCGTGGGGCCTGTTGGGCCGTGCTTGCTCGCCTTCCCTTCGCCAGCTTCCGCGACACCCTCGCGCTGTGACAAAAATCACGACGTGAGGTTTTTCTCACCACTCTCGGTCTCCGCCGGTCCTTGCCGGGCCCCGGGACAGTCAAAAAACGACTCAGGATGAAAACCTGGTCCTGGGGAAAGGGTCCAGACCTCTGGGGGTCGACGTTGTGACAGAAACGCGACATCGGGGGCCTGTGTTCTGAGCGCCCCCCTCCCTCCCCCGCCCTCTCCTGCGCCTTCTCTCTCCCCCCCCTCTCTGTGCTTTCTCTCCAGCGGCCACGCCGCAGCCAAGCGGCCGTGCCCGCTGTGGAGCAGGGACCGGCGCGCCGGGCTTCGATCCCCGCGCTGGTCGCCCCATTTTCAAGAGGCGGTGTCCCCCCTGTGGCCGAGGTGCTCTCGCGTTGCCGTGGGCAGGCATCTGCCTGGCGCCAGCGGCGCGCGCGCGCTCGCGCGCGTCCGGCGCCGCTGCCAATATACCTGGACGAGGACGGGCGCGGTGTTCCTCGTTCTTTGTCTCTTCGCCCTCCTCCTCCTTCTCCTTCTCCTCGTCCTCCTCGTCCTCCTCGTCCTCACTCCATTCTCCTCCTCCATCCTCCCCCTCCTCCTCCTCCTCCTCTTCCTCCTCCCCCTCCTCCGCCATTCTCCTCCTCCTCCTTCGCCATTCTCCTCCTCCTGCTCCTCCTCCTCCTCCTCATTCTCCTCCTCCTCCTCCTCCGTGCTTCTTCCAGCGTGGGTTCACTCGGAGCACATAGCTTGGGAGCCAGCGCACTGCCTGCCTCAAACCGGGTGGTCCCCGCAGAAGACGCGGAACCACTCCCAGGTGGAGGCGTTCGCGCCGGCCCAGGCCTACATTCTTCGGGTGCCGACGGCGACGGTGGCAGCGTGGCCCGCCAACACGCCGGCACCTGCGCGCGCCCGCGCTTCGCGCCGCAGCCCGCGCCTCAGACCCTTTCCGCCCAGCGCTGCTCGCAGACCGGCCGTGCGGCCCCGGCCCCGCGCCGGCGCGCGAGGGGCCCTTGCTGGCCCAAGGGGCCGTCAAACTGCGGCTTGAGATGTGACAGCTGTCCTGGGGAGGGGGTGGAGACCTCTGGGGGCCCGCGTCGTGAAAAGTCGGCGTCGCTCTCAACATGCGTATACTATACGTGCGTTGCCCTCCCAGGGGCGATGCGCGCAGTGAGCAATCTTATAGTATATGCGTCGTGGCGGGCGCTTTCTGGCCACAGCGCTCAGGAAACCATCTACTGCAAGATGGGTGTACTACACGTTTGGGTCGGGGGAGAACATCTAGTACTAGTGTGTGTTCGCGCGTCCCAAAAAGCCATGACGTCGGGGATCTGGGCCTCGCGTTCCGGGCGCGGCGCGGCGCGTCGCCGCCAGCGCCGCGCCGCTCCAGGCCGGGGCCTCCAGAGCCCGCGCGGCGCGGTGCAGCCCAGCGGCGCGCCAGAGCCGGCGCGCCACCCTGTGCTGGAGCGCGCGGCTGGGCGTCTTGCAGGTGCTGATGGGCTTGTTTTCCACCACCACCACCACCACCACCACCACCACCACCACCACCACCACCACCACCACCACCACCACCACCACCACCACCACCACCACCACCACCACCACCCACCACAGTTTGTGTTTTTTCCTCCTCCTCCTCCTCCTCATCCTCCTCCTCCTCCTCCTCCTCCTCCTCCTCCTCCTCCTCCTCCTCCTCTCTTTCAGCACTGTGAGTGCGTTCGTTTCCAAACCTTTGGTGAGGAAGACAACGGCTTTCAGGCTTTCAAGTGCAACCAGCTTTTGCGTTACGACGGCGGTTGTTGAAGCATGCGGTCCGCTCCCATCTTCGCCCTCCCAGCAAACCATCAGTTGGAGGGGGGATGGAGGAGGAGGAGGAGGAGGAGGAGGAGGAGGAGGAGGAGGAGGAGGAGGAGGAGGAGAGAGGAGGGAGGAGGAGGAGGAGGAGGAGAGGAGGAGGAGGAGGAGGAGGAAGGAGAGGAGGAGGAGGAGGAGGAGGAGGAGGAGGAGGAAGAAGAGGAGGAGGACCCCCTCCCTCTCCTACTTCTGGCGGTGGCGGTGGAAAGCAAGCCCACCAGGTTCGCGAAGACTCCCCATAGCCGCCTGGCCTCGGGGCTGCGGCGTGGCCCCCAGGGGCGCTCAGGCGAGCTAGACCCGAGGTCTCGGTGATGGGCCTGTTTTCCACCACCACCACCACCAGAAGTTGGAGGGGAATGGGGTGGAGGTGGAGAAGGGGGTGGAGGAGGAGGAGGAGGAGGAGGAGGAGGAGGAGGAGGAGGACGAGGAAAAGGAGTAGGAGTAGGAGGAGGAGGAGGAAGGAGGAGGAGGAGGAGGAGGAGGAGGAGGAGAGAAGGAGTAGAGGAGAAAGAGGAGGAGGAGGGAGGAGAGATGAGGAGGAGGAGGAGGATGAGGAGGAGGGAGGAGGAGGAGGAAGAGGAGGAGGAGGAGGAGGAGGAGGAGGAGGACCCCCTCCCCCTCCTGCGTGTGGTGGCGGCGGTGGAAGACGAGCCCACCACTCCAGGGCGAGCCCCGTCGAGCGCGCGCCAGGCCGTCTCCGGCGCCCCTCGCGCGCGACGCTGCGCGCAGCTTCGCCAGGCCCCAGAGCGCCAGCTCGTCGCCGGCCACCGGGTGGCGAGCAGTCGCGTCCAGCTGCCAGGGGGCTTGTCGCCTCCGCGTAGCCTTGGCATCGCGAGATCGCCTACATTTTCCCCCGGCGAAGAAGCTAAACGCACGAAGCCGAACGATGCACGGGGAATGGACGCCTGAGCGATGCAGAGTAGTGGAAGTTCAATCTTGCCCGTTCCAGGACCAGCGGCCCACGCTCTCGTGCAGGCCGCCGCGTGCGGCGCCCGTTCTTCCTCTGTCCTCTTTTTCCTCATCTATGGCTTCCTCCTCCTCCTCCTCCTCCTTTTTCCTCCTGCCTCGTTTCATCCTCCTCCTCCTCCTCCTCCGTTTCCTTTTTGTCCTCTTCTTCCCGTTTCTCCTCCTCCTCCTCCTCCTCCTCTTCCTCCTCCTCCTCCTCCTGCTCCTCCCTTCTCTCCTCCTCCTCCGCCTCCTTTTCTATTCATCCGATGTATCTTCTCATTCACTTGGCATTCTCTTCATCACTCTTCCTTACCATCCTGTGGTGTTCGGCCCTCGTTTCGAACACACAGCGCCGCCCTCCACTTCCTCTTCCCCGGCATACCCCTCGCACGTGCCGTGGCCCCACAGGGACCTCCTCCGACCGCTCCTGCGGCAGCGCCCCCATGGCGGCACCGCACAATCTCGGCGCACGCGTCACGCACTCCGTGGCCCCACCCGGGAGCTCCGCCGAAGGCCCCCGCTGGGGCGTTGCGTAATGGGGGGGCCATAAATGGGGGGGTGGCGAGGGTGGTCCGAAAAGGTACCCAAACGGTGCCTAAACGAGCCCCCTGGGGCTCCAGAGGGGCCCGAAAGGGGCACGAAAGGGGACCGTTTCTGACCCCCCCATTTATGACCCCCCCATTAAGCAACGCCCAACCCGCGGCAGCGCCCGCATGGCGGCACCGCCCCGTGTTGGCGCACCCCTCGCACGGCCCGTGGCTCCACGGGGAGCTCCGCCGAAGGCCCCCGCGGCAGCGCCCGGCGTGGCGGCACCGCCCCATTTCGGCACACGCTGCACGCGTTCTGTGGCCCCACAGGGGGCTCCACCGACGTCACCAGTGGCATCGTCCCGATGGCGGCAGCGACCCATTTCGGCACACCCGTCACCCGTTCCGTGGCCCCACAGGGGGCTCCGCCGAAGGCCCTAGTGGCAGCGCCCGCATGGCGGCACCCACCCATTTCGGCACACACCTCGCACGTTTCATGGCCCCACAGGGAGTTACATCGAAGGCCCCAGTGGGAGCGCCCGCATGGCAGCATCGCGCAATCTCGACACATGCCTCACCATGTCTGTGGCCGCACAGGGAGCTCCGCCGAAGGCCCCAGTGGCAGCGCCTGCGTGGCGGCACCGCCCCATGTCGGCACACCCCTCGCCCCCTCCGTGGCTCCAGGGGGAGCTCCGCTGAAGGCCCCAGTGGCAGCGCCTGCGTGGCGGCACCGCCCCATACCGGCAAACCCCTCACCCGTTCCGTGGACCCACAGTGGTCAGAGCGTGAATTACCTTCCCCGCTTTCGCTTCCAGGCAAAACCAAGTTCTACCACGCGCCTCCTCGTTAAGCGGCCTGACCAGTACAGGCCGTAGCTTGGCATCGCTTGGTATCTCTTGGAAGCGAGGGTGTTCAAAAGCGAGGTAGGTATGTTTGCCCCCTACACAGGGAGTTCCCCTTCCTTCGACCCGCCTGCCTTGCGGCACTCACGCCTGCACACTGGCGGGGGCCTTCGCCTCGAGCGGCCTGGTGCCTCGGGGAGCGGCACTGGGGGGACCGCCTGCAAGCGACTCGGGATGAAGTGCTGGCCTTGGGGTGGGGGAGCCCGCAGACCCGTCTCCACCAGGACTCCTCTTCCTCATGTCGCCCCGGCCGAAGGATCTGGAGGATGAGGGGTCCTCCGATTCTGCTGGCGAGGTTTGTTAGTTTTCTTATTTTAGGCCGCTCCACAGCAGCATGCCCTCACCGCCACTCCTCCTCCTCGCCCTCGTCCTCCTGCTCCTCCCCGTCCTGTTTCCTCCCCCTCTGGCTTCTCTCCGCGTGCTTCTCCTCTGCGTCCTCCCCCTTCGTGTCCTCCTCTACGTCCTCCTCCCGCGTCTCCTGTCCCCAAACGGTCCTTGCACTCAGCGGGCTCGTAGTTTGTGCCCTGCTGGTCTGGTGCACTGTGGGTGGTGTCTTGTGGCCAGTGCCTCGTGGTGCTCCAACTGTCGCGATGTGTGGCTGCCGTCTTTGTGCTCGTGGCCAGCGTCCTGTGATTTGTGGAAGCCGGCTTATGAAGAGGAAGCATGCTGACGAATAATTTCCAGATGTCTAAAACATGTTTCAAGCACCTCTTGAATACGTCAAACATGTGTGAAACATTTTTGAACATGTTGTGCCCATTTTAAGCAAATGTTTCATTCAATGATAGGATTGTTCGAGTGTCCATTGTCATGGCATCCACTACCTTTGTTGCCCTCGTTTGCGCAATGCCTGGTTGCCGCCCTCGTGGACGATTGGTGGTACCCTAAGAGTGGTGCCTTATGACGCCCCAGTCACCGACCCCCTCGAGTCATAAAAAAAACATGACGGGAGGTTCTTCGGTATTTTCGGCCTTTGGGGCCGCTCGGTATGAAAAACCGGTCCCGGGGAATGGGTCGAAACCTAAGGTGGTCCACGTCATCAGCAACAACTATGACGTCGGGGGTTTGGGCTTGGCGCAGGTTCTGATTGCCGCCCTGGTGCGCAATGGTGACTGGTGCCCCATAGGTAACTGGTGCTCTGTACAGTCCACCAGCCTAGTAAGGACGTGCGCATTCATCTGGGGTACCCTTGCGTCCTTGCCTCTACGGCCTGTCCTTTGCCGTTTTCACTGGTCGCCATCCGCCCACAAATCCCAACTTCGGCCTCCAAGGGTTCTGCGTCCTCACCACCCGTCCTTATTTCACGTTTTGACTACGGCAGGTTCGTGTCGTGTCGACGGGCGGCGACCCAGAATCGGTCGATGTTGAACGATTGGGCGTTGTGGGAACGGCCGATCGTTCAAGGTTGAACGATCCACGCGGTGTCAGGAACCGACGCCGGGGTCGTCACGACGCGAACCTGCCGTACCCAGTGGTGTTTTGCCACAGCCTCTCGCAGCTTCTGCTCGTCGCCCCAGTGCCCGAGGGCGGTGCCCTGTGATTCGTGCCCCAGCAGTGCCCAGCGGTCAGTGGTGCCACGTGGCTGTCTGTCGCGATTTCTGGCTGCCGCCCTGGTGCCCCACGGGTGGCTCATGTGTGGTTGGTGTTGTGATGTTCCAACCTACTTTATGCTCGACCGCCAGACAGAATTTCGAGCACCACGACAGTACCGAAACTGAATAGTTTTTTCACGTGTCGGGCCCTGGGAGGCGATACTCCTGCTCGAAATTATTTCTGGGAGGTGGTCCGTAAGTACGATGGAAACAACATACGGTTGATGTTCCATGCTGTCCCTTGCAGTCGAGGCGGATTGGTAGGTCGAGCCTGCCAAATCGAGGGTGCCCTTGCGTCCTCTGTGCGTCGACCCATGCCTTTACATTCCTATGGCAATGTGGCCCTCGGAGGGGTCTTGTGTCCTCTCGCGCTCCTCTCCAATCAGCTCCGACCGCATTGCCGTGCCCTACGGTCAGTGGTGCCGTGCGGCTCGTGCCCTGCTCTGTCGCGATCTCTGGCTGCCGCCCCGGTGCCCTGCGGGTGGTTCATGCATGGCCGGTGTCCCGTGACGCCGCAGGCTTCTCTGTGGTTGTTGGCCCACTCGCCCCCCACACGGCTTGCACAAATCGCGCGCGCAAGGCGTTGTTTCTTGGGGTCCACGGCGGGAGTCGTGCTCGTGTTTTTCTCCCGCTCCTCCTCCTCCTCCTCCTCCTCCTGCCTCTCGTGTGGTCGTCGTCGTCTGTCCTGCTCCTCCTGCCAGGCAGGAGGAGGTGGAGGAGTGAGACACGTGCCTCGCTCCTCTTCCCTCCCGTCCTCCTGCAGCCTCTCCTGGGGGCAGCTGGGGGCGTTTCCATCCATCCATCCATCCATCCATCCATCCATCCATCCATCCATCCATCCATCCATCCATCCATCCACCCACCCACCCACCCACCCACCCATCCATCCATCCATCCATCCATCCATCCATCCATCCATCCATCCATCCATCCATCCATCCAGTTGGGGACGTTTCCAGTTGGGGGCGCTTCCATCCGTCTATCCATCTCCCCCCGCTGTGCACCCCCCCCCTTCCTCCTCCTCCTCCTCCTCCTCCTCCCTCCTCCTCCACCTCCTTCCCCTCCCTCCCTCCCTCCCTCCCTCCCTCCCTCCATCCTCCTCCTCCCCCCCCCTCCTCCTCCCTCCTCCTCCTCCTCCTCCTCCTCCTCCTCCTCCTCCTCCTCCTCCTTCCCTCCTCCTCGCCGCTGCCTGCCGCCCCCTCGCCCGGCTGAATCTGTCTTCTCCGGGCCCCCGCCCGGAGACGTTGCTCGTTTGCTCGAGCGGCCCCGCTGCCCGCTGCGGAACGCGCACCCTGGGAGACCGCTCCAGCGGCCTCTCCCTGGGCGCGGCCAGCACAGCGGTGGCCCCCCAAAGTAAGCTCGGTTGCCGTGCGTCCAAGCGCGGGCGCCGGCCTGGAGCCCCGTACATCGGTTGGAGGGGGCCAACCGCCCAGATCCCTGACGATGTGATTGCGGGGCGGGCCCCGCCTTGAAGTTCGGCGGTGCGAACTTCGAGGTCTCCCTGCTGGGGTCAGAGTGGATGGGTTCGATGGGTCGCGCAGCATCGCCGATGCATCGGCGAGGCGGCTCGATGCGGAGTCCGATGTCTCTTCCACGCCGACGTTCCGATGCACCACCGATGAATTGGCGACGCGTGGGCGATGCACGGGCGAGGCAACGGCGAGGCGGCGCGATCCTCCGACCCTAGCAGCTCGGACCCGCCATGCGGGAGGCCTCTGGAACTGACAGTTGGGCCAAATGGCTGGAGCGCCACTGGACGGCAGCTCCACGGGGAGATCCGGCTGGCAGTCTGGGGCCCCGGGGCGTGGGCGTCTGGCTAGCGGTTCGGGGCCAGTCCAGGGGGGTGAGGATTATATATATATATATATATATATATATATATATATATATATATACATATATATATTATATATGATATATGTATATATATGTAATATAATATAATATATATATATGTATATATATATATATATATATATATATATATATATATATATATCGATCGGAGTAGGGCCTGGGGGCGGCCCGGGGCGCTGCCAGTAATCTCCATGGGGGGTGCAGGGCGCCCCCGGGAGTGTCCGAAGCGTGCCGGAGGGCCCCTGGGACCGCCAGGAGCAGTTCGAGACCGCCCAAGACGGCCCGCGAGCGCTCCAAGACGCGCATAGATAGCCTCAGGAATGGCCAGGAAGGCCCGAAGACGTTCCAAGAGAGCTCCATGAGGCCCCGAAGGCATCCCAAGAGGCCTCCCAAGAGAGCCCCGACAAGCCAAAATCGTTGATCTTTAATGTTTTTTTCTAGGTTTTTGGCCTTCTCGCTTTTTCGGGGTTCCGACGCTCCAAGGCCGTCCAAGAGTCTCCCCAAACCGCTCCAAGACGGCCGAAGAGGCCCCCAAGACCGCCCCAAGATTGCCTAAGAGACCCCCAAAATCGTCCCAAGACGGCCCAGGAGAGCCCCAAGATGGCCCAGGAGCCGCCCAAGACGGTTCCAGGAGAGCCCCGACAGGGCTTCAAGACTGCCTAAGCGAGCCCAGCGGTCCCCAAGAGGGCCCCGTGAGGCCCCAAGAGGCCCCAAAGAGGCCCCCAAGAGCCTCCCCGGAGGCCCCCAGAGGCCCCCAAGATGCCCAAAAATGGCCCTGAGCGCGCCCCAAGACGCCCCCAGGAGAGCCCAACAGGCCTCCGAGAGGCCCCCAAGAGGCCCACTGGAGGCCCTCAGGAGGTCGTCCCCATCATGTTCCCGGAAGGCGGTCCGGGAACATGATTCCGCGCCTTGGAGGAGTATTCTGCGCCTTCCGAGGCGCCTTGGACGGCATACGTATGTTTCTATAGATTGTCCTTCTCCTGTGTACACATTCCTACATGTTTTACGTATGTTTCTATGTATATATGTATGTATGTATGTATGTATGTATGCATGCATGTATGTATGTATGTATGTATGTATGTATGTATGTATGTATGTAGGTAGGTAGGTAGGTAGGTAGGTATGTACGTATGTATGTATGCATGTATGTATGTATGTATGTATGCATGTATGCATGCATGCATGCATGCATGCATGTATGCATGCATGCATGTATGCATGTATGCATGTATGCATGTATGCACGCATGCATGTATGCATGTATGCATGTATGCATGTATGCATACATGCATGTATGCATATATGCATGTATGCAGGTATGCATGTATGCATGTATGCATGTATGCATGGCATGTATGCATGTCTGCATGTATGTATGTATGCATGTATGTATGCATATATGTATGTATGTATGTGTATGTGTATGTGTATGTGTATGTGTATGTGTATGTGTATGTGTATGTGTATGTGTATGTGTATGGGTATGGGTATGGGTATGTGTATGTGTATGTGTATGTGTATGTGTATGTGTATGCATGCATGCATGTATGTATGTATGTATGTATGTATGTATGTATAGATGTATAAATAAATGGGGAGGGGGTCCTGGACCAGGGGGGGGCTCACTTTGCCCAGTGGCTGTGGTCACCCCCCTGCCTGAGACGCCAGGACGCTCCCAGGACCATCTAAAATGGCTCCAGGACGCCCTCAGGACAGCCCAAGAGAGGTCCGAAGCGGCCCGGGAGCAGTCCAAGACGGTTAAAAAGCTGCCAAAGCGTCCCACCAGGTCTCCGACAGCACTCTCGGGAGGGGCCCAATAGGAATTTGTTACTGTTTTTTGGTGGGCTTTGAAGGGTTTTGGCGTTCTCCCCAGTTCGGCTTCCAGACGCTCCAAGGCGGCCCAAGAGGCCCGACAGATCGCCTCAAGACGAGCCCAGAGGCCCCCAAGAGACCACCGAGACAGCCCAAGAGGGCCCCACGACGGCCCAGGAAGCTTCCAAGACGGCCCAAAAGAGCTCCCAGAACACTCCAAGAGGAGCCCCAGATGGGGAGCACGAACTGACATTTCGAGCCCTCGCCCACCAGAAGCTCCCAAGAGGCCCCCAGGAGTCCGCAAGAGGCCTCGAGAGGCCCCCAGGAAGCTCCAAGAGGCTTCCAAAAGGCGCCGAAAGGGCCCCGCAAGGCTTCCAGACGCTGGTGATAATGACAATGATGATTATGCAGGGCTGCCTCAGGCCCACAACCTAAATCCCCAATACTGCTCACGCGGCATGCAAGACGCTGCGGAGATATCCTCGAGTTCGGCGGGGGAGCTTCGGAGACGACGGTGACGAACATGATGACGATGATGACGACTATTATGAAGTTGACGACGGCGATGATGATGATGATGATGATGATGCTGATGATGATGATGATGATGATGATGATGATGATGGTGGTGGTGATGATGATACTGATGCTGATGCTGATGATGATGATGATGCTGATGATGATGATGATGATGATGATGGTGAGGAAGAAAATTACGATGATGATGTTGACAGTGGGAATGATGATGCTGATGATGATGCTGCTGATGATGATGGTGATGATGCTGATGATGATGATTATGATGGTGATGGTGATCGTGATGTGAGTGATGGTGATGCTGATGATGATGATGGTGGTGATGCTGACGATCATGATGACGATGACGGTGATGTCGGTGAGGATGGTGATGCTGACGATCATTCTGATGATGCTGCTGATGGTCAGGATAATAACGCCGATGCTGATAATAATGGTGGCGATGCTGTTTATGGTGTTTGTGATGCAGGAGTGGGCGGATGATGAAGATGATGACGATGATGATGACGATAACGATAACGACGATCACGACGACGACGATAATGATGACGATGGCGATGATGAGGATGATTATGTTGATAATTCAGGTGACGATATTGACGATGATGACGACGATGGCCATGATGACGATGGTGATGATGAGGTTGCTGCTGATGGTGGTGATGGTGACGATTGTGATGAAGGTGATGGTCATGGTGATGATAACGATGCCGCTGACGATGACGTCGGATATGATGGTGATGAGGATGGCGATGATGACGATGACGATTTTCCTAGCTAGAACTTGCGCGCGCGCGAAGCGCGCGCGATGGTTCTAGTATATATATATATATATGTATATGTATATGTATATATATATATATATAGGGCTCACGGTTTTGGACCAGGGGTGAGGATGCTTGGCTGGCAGTTTGGGTCCAAGTCAGAGGGTTGAGATATAAGCTGGCAGTTTGGGGCCATGGGGAGAGGATATCTGGCCTGAAGTTGTAAGTAGGGGGATGAGTTATCTGGCTCGCAGTTCGGGGCAGGCCAGAGGGTGAAGATGTCTGGCTGGCAGTTTGCAGGGGTGGGTGAGGATATCTGGCTGGCACCTTCGGGCCAGCTGGGGAAGGAGATCTGGCTGGCATTTTCTTGCAATGGGGGGAGGGAATCTATTCAGCAGTTTTAGGCAATGCCAGGGGGGGGGAAGATATCTGGCTAACAGTTTTGGCAAAGAGGTGAGGATATCTGGCTGGCAGTTTTGGGCAAGGGAGGCCAGAATAGCTGGCAGTTTTGGGCCAGGGTGTGAGAATATGTGCCTGGCAGTCTGAGTCCATGGGGCGAGGATCTGAGGCGGGCGGTTTGGGGCTAGTCAGTGGGTGGGGGTCAGGGGTGAGGATATCTGGCTGGCCTTTTGGTCCATGGGGTGAGGATATGGCTGGCATTTCGGGGGAAGGGGTTATGATATCTTGCTGGCACTTCTGGGCAAGGGGGTGAGGATATCTGGCTTGCAGCTTTGGGCCAGGGAGTGAGAATTTCGGGTTGGCAGTTCTGGGCCATGGGGTGAGGAAATCTCGCCAGCGCTGTTTTTTGGCAAGGGCGGTGAGAATATCTTGCTGGCAGCTTGGGCCAGGGAAGCATGATATCAGGCTGGCACCCAGGGGGGGGGGATGAGGACAATTGACCAGCAGTTTTTGGTTGGGCGGGGGTGAGGATAACCTGCTGGCGGTTTGGGACCAGGGGGTCAGGAGTCTGGCTTATAGTTTTTTTGGCCAGGGGATGAAGAGATGAGGCTTCTAGTTTTTGGCCCGGCCAAAGACCAGGGAAACTAAGATATTTGGCCAGCATTTTCGGGCCAGGCCAGGGGGATGTGGATACCTTGCTTGCAGTTGCGGGCCAGGGGGTGGGAATATCTGGCTGGCATTGTTGCGCCAGGGGTGTGGATATCTGGTTGGCAGTGATGGGTCAGTAGGGCTTTCGGTTATCTGGCTGGACGTTTTGGCTTAGGGGGTCAGGGTATCTGGGTCGCAGTTTGAGGTCAGGCCAGGGGAGTGATGATGTCTGGCTTGCAGTTCGGGGCCAGGGGGGTGAGGATACCCAAGCGGCCTTTGCTGGCAGTTTTATATGCCAAGGGTGAGAATATGTTGCCAACAGTTTTGGGAAAGGGGGGTGAGGATACTTGACCTCAGCGAGCCCCATGTCAGATCGAGTTGCTTTGGGCGCTAGGCGCTAGGCCATGGTCAAAAACTGCGTGCGCTTGAGTCCAGAGGTCTCGATCCCATGTTGTGCCCGTTGCACACCCAGGCGTTGCGTGTTTCTATAAATTCTCGGTCCTCGCTTATAAGGCCCAACCGATGGCCATGCATCCAGCACAGTGCTGCGCTCGTATATCTGCTCGCCCCTCCGCTTGGGGGTGGCCGTGGGCCAAGGGGCAAGCCATACATATGTATATATATATATATATATATATATCTAGTATTTTCAATCCTTTTGGTTTTTTCATCAATTTCGACCTCAATGGGCCGTATCGGGGCTTGGGGCCACATGGACCAGGTACGAACTAACATGTCATTTGGCGAAGTGGACGAGTCGTTTTGTGCTTGATAAGTACGTTGCGTCGGACGGTCCCCCCCAGGGAGTTGCTGC